TTTTTCTATATATATTTTAGTCGTCCAGCTAATTTCTTTCTATTTTTTAGTTGCCTAGCTAACTTCTTTCTATTTTTAGTAGACATGGGTCTCACTCTTGCTGAGGCTGGTCTCGAACTCCTGACCTTAAGCAATCTTCCCGCCTGGGCCTGCCAGAGTGCTAGGATTACAGGTGTGAGCCACTGTGCCGGCCTCCATGTGACTTTAGGTAACTTATTTAACACTTGAGTTGTGGGGATGAAATAAGGTAACTTTTGGTAGGTTCATAGCATACTGTAGCACATAAGTGCTCGAAAAACTGTCATTCCCTTTTGGTTCACGGAAACTCATTTTTAAAAAGACTGTTTTATGCAATATGTTCTGAAAGCATGCACAGTGCAAAATGCTTGCTATATTAGGTAACTTGCCTTGTTCTTTTTCTTCTCACAAGTCTTAATTACACTCAGCAAGTACACTAGAAGTTCTGGAACACTACTATCAAAAGGATCACTGTAATGTTTTAGAAGGCAGTATTTGACTAGTTTAATCTTTAATAGGGGTAAAATCAAGTTCCAGCCTGTACTGAATTTCAGTGTTAGGATTCAGTCAGCTTGATTCCAAATAGGACTGTTACGTTTCTATTTCCACAAATGTATTAATACATCCCTGTAAAACAGCAGTCCCCAACCTTTTTGGCACCAGGGACCAGTTTCATAGAAGACAAGTTTTTCACAGACTAGGGTGGAGGGGTGGGGATGGGAGGGGCATCACCGCTTCAGCTCCACCTCAAATCATCTTTAGATTCTCTCTCTTTTTTTTTTTGAGACAGAATCTCACTCTGTCGCCTGGGCTAGAGTGCTGTGGTGTCAGCCTAGGTCACAGCAACCTCCAACTGCTGGGCTCAAGCGATCCTCCTCCCTCAGCCTCCTGAGTATCTGGGAGTACAGGCATGCACCACCACGCCTAGCTAATTTTTTCTATTTTTAGTTGTTTGGCTAATTTCTTTCTATTTCTAGTAAAGACAAGGTCTCGCTCTTGCTCACGCTGGTCTCAAACTCCTGACCTCAAGCAATCCTCCTGCCTCGGCTTCCTAGAGTGCTTGGATTACAGGTGTGAGCCACCGCGCCCAGCCCTTTAGATTCTCATAAGGAGTGTACAACCTAGATCCCTTACATGCACAGTTTACAGGGGGGTTCGTGCTCTTACGAGAATCTAATGCCACCACTGATCTGACAGGAGGCAGAGCTCAGGCGGTGATGCGAGTGATGGTCAGCGGCTGTAAATATAGATGAAGCTTTGCTCACTCACCCACTGCTCACCTCCTGCTGTGCAACCCGGTTCCTAGCAGGCCACAGACTGGTACCAGTCCTCGGCCCAGGGGTTGGGAACTACAGCTGTAAAAGATAAAGCCATAAGTTAAGAAAATAATTCCATTTGCAGTAGCATCAAAAAATAACAAAATATTTAGGAGTAAATTTAACATTTGCATGAGGCTATATATTTTATTTTTCTTTCTTCTTCTTCTTTTTTTAATCTATCTGACAGCTTCCCTCTGCAGAGGCTATATATTTTATAAAATACTTAACATGAGTTATCTTTTTTTTTTTTTTTTTTCTGAGACAGAGTCTCACTGTGTTGCCTGGGCTAGAGTGCCGTGGCGTCATCTTAGCTCACAGCAACCTCAAACTCCTGGGCTCAAGCGATCCTTCTGCCTCAGCCTCCCGAGTAGCTGGGACTACAGGCATGCGCCACCATGCCCGGCTAATTTTTTCTATATATTTTTAGTTGTCCGATTAATTTCATTCTATTTTTAGTAGAGACGGGGTCTCGCTGTTGCTCAGGCTGGTTTCAAACTCCTGAGCTTAAAGGATCCGCCCGCCTCGGCCTCCCAGATGGACTCCTTTTTGTTTTGTTTGCTTTGAAACAGAAACCTATGTTTATTCTTAGTGCTTTTGTCCATTTTTATTCCTCTGAGTTTTTTTCATTCTCTTTTAAATTTCTGGTTAATCCTTCCAGAAAAATTCCATCCTCCAGATATTAAAGATAGTTGCTGCACAAGCCAGTATAAAATCCAGCCTTCTTTTGTTCCGTCTGCTCTCCCTTCCGTGGCTGAAGTTCTATGACTCTGTTCAGTTAATTAGCACTGATTGAATAGTCTCCAGCTACAGCTTTAAAAAAAAAAAGTAAATGCACAAGGCATTGTAACTTCCTCACAATAATAGAGCTTTTGGAAAAATAAACAGCAATCTAATTTGTTCATTTATTCTTTGATTCAGTCAGTCATAAAAACATTTAAAAAGTACCTACTGAATGGAGATACTTTGCCAGGTTTACAAATACAGAAGTGTTTAAGAGCCAACTGCTGCCTTCAGGGAGTTCCCAGTCAAGTAGACAAAGAGTTCCAGCAGTGTGTCATTCATAGTTAAGAATATCCAGAAATATGAATCTATTTTTTGTTGTGGAGCAGTCCTCCAAGCTTAGATGAAGGATTGTGAGGCTTAACCACAGACACCTCATATCGTGGCTGGATCTGTGAGAGGAAGCCAACATGCAGTCAGAAGGGAACGAGGAAACCCCCAGACTGGGCCATTGGTACCGGTCTGTAGCCTTGTCTAATTGTTCTGAGCCACCGTGGTTATCACGGATCCATATTGGTCTCTTATTTTGCCCCTCAGCTCTTCCTTCATGTTTATATTAGGAAAACCACAGGTAGATAAGGAAGTTCAACTTCTCCTCAAAGCGCCCTTTCACTTACCCTCACACCAGACAGTTGAAATGATACCTTCAGAATCTGTCTCTCCCTTCCCTGCTTCAGCTTTCCCCTCAGTACTTTGGTGATCCTTGGCTGTACAGATAGCGCAAGTAACCAGAAAACCTTTCAGCTAAACAGGATTTCATCTTTAAAGTGCTAACTTCAGGACTGACAGATGAACAGAAAGCATGTGAGAAAGGGTTACAAATTTGTTACATCTTGGTCAAGTTGAAGGTTCAGTTGGTTTCAAACTTTTTTGGAGGAGTGGTTGATTTTTTTCAACTAGTCTCATCTCTTAATGACTGAGGTACCAAAAGGGTGGAAGGAAAATGAGCAAACTTGCAGTCAAGTCTGACTTTCTCATTTTACAGGAAGCTGACACTCAGAGAAGTCAATTGACTTGTGTTAAGTCACACAACTGGTCAGTGGAAATATTTACCAATAACCCTGTGTGAGGCATACCCAACAGTTACACTGTTTAAAAAGGAAACTTTCAGTGATATGGTTCTTAGATACATTTTTTCCTATAGGTAGAAATGATACATGAAGTACTGGACTGTGTTTAAAGGGAGGTAGATTTGGGCTCAGTACAAGGAGGAATTTACTCTTAATGTTGGAAGGGAGGTGACCATCGTGTATGTATCAAGGAGAAGACATTGGCATTGTTAGGGATATCATAGAAAAAAAATCATTTATCAAATTGAACCAAAAGGAAACCTTATCTCTGAATCTTTCCACTTTGGAAAAAAAAAAACCCTCCCATGTCTGTATCCCTATGTGTGAACTTATTAGTTGGTGAATTGATAGGGGTTATTCTTAATTTTTCTCTTTCTCTTTCTACATGCCCTTACCTTCATCACTATCCCCTTTAACCTGTTTTCTTTTTCTTCTTAGCACTTGTTGCTACCGAGATCATATAGTTACTGTTTATTTCCTGTCTCTCCGACTAGAATGCAAGCTCCTTTGAAGCAGATACTGTGTTCACTGCTGTCCACAGCGCCACACGCCCACACACGTGCTAGCATATAACTGGCATTCAATAAACATGTGCTGAGCCTTTATATAAAAATAAATAATATGTGTATATCAACAGCTTTAGAATTTTTTAAAAAAATATAAAAGTAGTGCTTGTTCCTTGCAAGAAAATATAGAAAAGCGTAAGGAAAAAGGAAAAAATTGGAGGAATTTATCAACCGCCACATATACCCCTGAGCAATGTGCTCGATTGAGTTTTTGTTAAAGTTTGAAGTGCTTTGGCCGTATCAAGCCAGTAAGTAATGGACCTTTAGTTCCATTTATATTTTGTTTCTTATTTTTGAGGGTTTGTTTTCTTTTGTTTTACAAGAGATGCTGGTAAGGAAGGATGGCTCCACAGGGATTACCTCTGAGAACACAGGATCCAGAGCCAAACAATAGGCCCTTACCTTATCTGGGGGATCTCTTCTTTTACCTCCTGCAACTGGTGATATCGTGATTAGACCTGCGTATTACTTCTGAGCACTGCCGTGCACTTGGCTCAGCCGAGCTTATGGAGATTAGATCATGCACAGGAAGCTGGTTCCACACAGGAGTCAGGAGGCTTAAGGGGTTTGAAAAATTAGAGTTGATTTAAAGGGACAAGGTTCTCTGGAAAAGCACAGAGATTTTCCCAGCTTGTAAAAGGGCCTCCATAACCTTTAGTTTCCCATAAACAGCATTGATTTCTACCTCAAAATTCTTCTTATAAGAAAGAGCCTCTTTAAGCTTCCCTTTCCTCATCTTTAAAATAGGGCTGCTAATACCAACTTTGTGAAATTGTTATCATTTTAATGAGCTCTTTAAAGAATCTCACATAGTACCTGGAAGGTAAAAATTCTAGCATAGTTCTTGAAACATGTACTAAGGGCATAATCACTGTCAGTTCTTCTTCTTTTTCCTTTTATCATTATTACTGTCCATACGATCAGGTTTTAATTAGATTATTACAACAGAATAACATTTTGAAGTCCAATTGTGTTTGACTGGAGTTTTGAATAACATTTTGTCCTTCTTAAGACACTTTATCTGCTTTGAATTATTATTTTGATTATTATAATTGGTTTACTTGTTTTATTCTTCCTGTATATCACAAGCAATGGAAGGGTTAATGATTCTTACTCATTTTTATATTCACTGCAATACCTAGAACAATGCTTTGAATCCAGCGAGTGCTCAGTAATAGTTTATCAAATTGAATGCATTTGTGTTAGACTTCTTGAAAGATAAAAATAAAATATGTAACATAGTTTTTGTTAATAAAAGTCAGCATCCTCACACATTTAACCATGTAAAACCAGCATAGATCTGGTGCAGCATAGGTGCACAGTGTAATTTCTTTGAAGATTTATTGAATTGGAGAGAATAGGACATACCCACATGGCAGTCACATCTTAAAAGTGCTGTGTTTTGGGTTATGTTTTGTTTTGTTTCAAATCTAGTTTTAAGTTTTTCTATTTGGTAGTAATTATTTCTTAGTTTCTAATAGCAGGGCCTTCAGCAGTAGGATAGTTACTATACAGGTGAATAAAGGCAGATTAGAGGACTTAGATAGCCAAAAATAGGAAAAGAAGAGGTCAGAAAATGGGTTAATTTACCCATTGTGGGCAGTTCTTCAGGCTGCACACATGAAAGGCTGCTGTTCCAGTACAGCCTCTCTGTTTCAGCCGAATTGCCAAACTCAAATGATTTCATCGCCATATCCGAGCACATCCTTAGAGCTATTAATAAAAGTGTGCGCTTTAGGAGGAGGGTATTGCTGAAGATAAGAGGCAAGCCCTGCTAAGTGTCTAGTGTGTGGTTCCCCTTGCTCTGGCCCTGCAGTCAGGGTTTTTCTCACCGTTCCCTTTTCCCTAGGTGTACGTGGTCGGGAACGAACCTTTGACAGTTTTGCTGGATTCCCTGCTTCCAGTCCTGGGAGTGCTCTTTCTTCTCTACTGTTTTACCAAGCAGAGTGTGTCTCACATAAGGTAAACCATCGAAGGAACCTTATTTGTTTATAAATAGAATCTTATTTGTTTATAAATTGCGAAGTCTTTTTTGTTTGTTGTTTTTGTTCTGATTTTGAATATAAGACTTAAGCCACTTGAAAATTATTTCCTTTCAAAATCAGGAGAACACTGGGATCTTCTTATTCTGTTCATCTTGAAAAGAAACAGACTTTTGTAGATAGCAGGGGATTGGATATAGTTTTTAGAATGACTTTCCTCAGCCTCTGTCCTAGGCATCAGAGATGAAATCTGTTGACATGTGTAAGCATGCCACTGTTTGATCAGTGAGAAATACTGCAATTACGTGTCTAGAAAGGAGGAAATAGGGGATGGATCATAATGACCTTGTGAGGAGTTATAAAACAAGTTTGAGAAATCTGGATCTGAGTATAGCACGTTGCAGTTTAGCCTGGGATTTGGTGTTAGTGATGAAGGGTGTTGTTTAGAAAGAAGAGATTTCTTAGTCATCCAGAAAATACTCTCTTATAATAGAATTTAAGTAGGACTTATTTTGTGTTAGCTTTATTTTCACAGTAATTTATGTTGTTTCTTCTTCCAGGTAAAAGTATATATCCTATCTAAAGTCCTACAGAGTTCTGATTTTTGGAAAAATCACTTCTGTTTGGAAATCCCGACGTGTAATCTGACATACAATAATAGTACCTTCTTCGCAGGGTTATTATAAAGGCTAAATATGCACTAAAGCAGTGGTCCCCAACCTTTTTGGCACCAGGGACCTGTTTCATGGAAGACAGTTTTTCCACGGATGGGGGTGTGTGAGGCCGAGCTCACGTGGTGACACAAGTGGTGGGGAGCGGCTGTAAATAGGGATGAAGCTTTGCTCGCTTGTCTGCCGCACACCTCCCTGCTGTGAGGCCCGGTTCCTAGCAGATCATGTACTGGTACCGATCTGTGGCCCAGGGGTTGGGGACCACAGCATTACAGTGTTTAGCACAGTCCCAGGCAAATAGGAGGCTCAGTAAATGGTAGCTATCACTGCTCAGTGGTAAAGGAAAACATTCAGTCTTGCATGTTATCTAAAGCTTATGTGTTGCCTTTGGCTCTTCACCTTTGGGGCAGCACGTCATGTAGCCCACAGCCACGATGGCAGTGACAAGAGAATGCAGTGGGAGGTGGAGGCTATGCATATGTGACTGGGGATACAAAGGACAGTCCATGTAATAACTCTTATTTTAGTTTTAAAGCCCAAGTCCTCATGGTACTGTGATATCCTCATCAGAGACTGACAGGGAAGATGTGAACACTGATTCCATTCCTCTCCTAGTTGATGGGCCTGGATAAGGGGGTGGTGAGGAATCAGCAGCATTTTCTTGGTATGCTGTTTTTTGGTCACCAGCTATTGGTTCCACTGATAGTAGCCGATGGTATCCACGTAAGCTTTCTTTCACAGTGCTTTATCCAAAGGCAGTAGTACACTTGGAATTTAAAAAAAAATCATGTGGGGCTCATGCGGCATATCAGGGTTGCTTCTGAGCCAAGGATTAGTAAGTCACTCATTGACTTTCAGGATATTTGCATTCTGAAATTCACAAGAAGCATACTTTCCACTCCTGCGTCTCAGTAGTAGGGGATCGTGCCAGCATTTAGAATGCAGTGGAACCTGACAGTCTCTTTTTTTGTGTTAGCTTGTTAGATACGTAGAGTGAGATGACAGGCTCATTCATAACTGCTTTTTCTGCCAGGTCACTTTGCCAAGAGATCTTATTATGGATTCTGGGAAAGCTGGAAAGGAAGAAGGCAATTGCCAGCCTGAAAGGATTTGCAGGGTTGGACAAAGCTGCACCCTCTCTCCATTCTCTGTGTCAGTTTAGAGCTGCCACTCATGGTGGCGTTATGATTACGGTCAAAGAGGCCATTAGGTGAGTCCACCCATCCGTTACCGTCTGTCTCTCTTTGATTTTCTACCCGAAAGGCCATTCTGCGACTCAACCACTAAGGGGCGCTGATAGAAAAGAAACCAGAAACTTCAGTGGCCGAGGCACTTCCTATTTATAATCTCTAAATGAAATGTGAGCCTTAAATCATCCTCCAGGTTTTTTTGCAAGATGCCAGCTAATAGTAGGTGCAATTTACTGGAGCCTCAGAGCTTTGCATCACAACAGGTCTTTACCAGGGAATCAGAGTTAAAGGCAGACCTGTGTTCACACTTAACACCATAATAATCCAGTTCTCCTTCTGACCCTCAAAATGGTGTATGTGTGTTCGTAGTCAGACTTATTCCCAAGGGAAATTGTCTGGTAGTTATATTTTATGATGGGGGTTTGTTTCTCATAGGGATTGATTAGAAAGTGCTTAATAATTGTTACTGGAGTGGGTAATTTATTTCTCCGACATCTCACAGGTGTATATTGTAACACATTGACTGCCATGTGAGTTGTGTTTAACTCAGGCTAGTTTTGAGTCCAGGGCCTCATGAAGCAAAAACCTGCTGGTGGTTTGTGAAAATCTTGTTGCTGTTCTTATTGTTACAATTAATATTGACAGTTTAATTCTAAAAATGTGGATTGCATTGCATATAACTCATGCACAGAAAACAATAAAAAATAACAAATTAGGCCAGGCACAGTGGGTCACGTCTGTAATCCTAGCACTCTGGGAGGCCGAGGCAGGATTGCTTGAGGTCAGGAGTTCCAGACCAGCCTGAGCAAGAACGAGATCCATCTCTACTAAAAATAGAAAAAATTAGCCGGCCGACTAAAAATAGAAAAAAATTAGCCAGACGTGGTGGCACATGCCTGTAGTCCCAGCTACTTGGGAGGCTGAGGCAGGAGGATTGCTTGAGTTTGAGGTTGAGGTTGATGTGAGCTAGATTGACATCCCCCACTTTAACCCAGGCAACAGAGCCAAGACTCCATCTCAAAACAAAAAAACAAAGGATCATTTTGTTTTAATAAAAGTGAGGTCCCAGGGGAAAAAAATTTTTTTTCTAGTGTGGCAGTCAATGTGTTAAATTATTTCCACTTTCTGGGTGATCCGTGTAGGATGTTATCACCTGAGAATGTAAATTCCTGTTGATCATAGCCCATACAGTACTTAACTGGTGGCAGCTTCTCTATTTGGATTTCACATCACGTTCAAAGTGCTGCTGTTTGTTGAAGTGTTCAAATTTAATTTTATGTTCATGGTTAACTTTCGTAAAGTTTTCACACACCCTCTCAAGATGATGGACTTGAGGAAAATAGAAAAACACGTAGCTACTAATAGAATTATCAGAGCAACACCCTGACTCAAAGAAAAAAACAAAAAAAAAACAAATAAAAAAACCTTTGGAATGGGTTTTACCTGGGACCAATTTAGTGACTATGTAATTTTACAATATCTAACTTAATAATTATAACTTACTGCTGTTTTAATAAATCTCTAGTGTACTTCTTAGTGCATATATGTCAAAATCCACACTTTTTATTGAAACTGTAGTTTCTCTTCATAGTAGGAAAAGAAATGAATAGGCCGTGATTGAATGAATCTCTGTCCACTGCCAGAAACAATGGGTCTTTAACCTGGGATCTCTGCATGGACCTCTAAGGGTCTAAAATCCTTTTGAAATTACATACACAAAAGTGTTTTTGTGCAAACATGGATTTTTTCTGAAAATAGAGTGCATAACTTGTTTCCAAAAAGTTGACAACCACCACACCAGAGAAGAGTGTGTGTGTGATTTTACCATTTGTTGTAAAGCTCCTGCTAGTCCCCCAAGGCCAGGGTCAAGGTCTATATCACCACTTACCTTTCATTCTACCATTCTGCCCAGTGCCAGTTTTCCATTAAAAGTTTGATTGAAGAAACTCTACAAGAAAAGCTTAGATTTGGATCATCCAGAGTTTTTACCTTTCTGGAACTAAATATAACTGTTTGGAATTGACTCTTTATCATTGAAATTTTAAGAGTGAATATTAATAAAATGATGTTCTTAAGATAATTGTTGCCATGTCTTTTCAGGAGTATTTGAATATAGTATTAATACTTCATTTTGACAATCAGGATGGTTCATAGAAGCTTAGAAGCGTTGTTTATACATTGCAGTTTTTCTTCTAACATACGATGTGGTGGACAAAATATGACTGATCCAAAGGACTCTGGAAGATTCTGGAATAATATAGGAAATAATCCTAAGCTAAATGTATAGGTTATTCATTCTACTAGAGTAGTATGAAGGCCATGTTATTAGTAAACTGACAGATTGGGACATCTTGCCCAGTGAGATGGTCTGCCGAATTAACTTTAATAATTGTACTTTTCAATGAGATGAAACAACATCTGTCATTTTTCAATTTAGTCTGAAAAAATTTATTTCTTTGATCACAAAAGCAACATATGTTCTTTGTATAATACAAAAACACATAAAGAGGAAAACAAAAATCAACCACTATCCTATTCACTGTTTATATTATTTTAGTGTCTTGCTTTTTAGTACATCTTCTACGCCTTTGTATTTGTTTACATGATATGGTATAATAATATTGTGTCTTTGTCTCTTCACTTACCAGATGTAGTTAACGCTAAAAGCCATAGCACATCTTGAGAAGTTTCTTGGTTTTTTGCAGTAATCATAGCACTATTTCAGCCAAATTTTATTACTCGGCAGTCACATTCGACCTACTCATTTTTCTGAACCTTTATGCATTTTCTTATCTCAACTAATTGATTCATATTAGTTGAGATTGACAACATCTCTGCCCATGATTGTGTCTTTTTCCACTGCCTGTAACCCTTCAGGGGCTCATCAGAAAAAAGTTGAAGTTCCTTTGAATGACATCCAAGGTCCTGCATGATCTGACCTCATTTTGCAGCCTTCTCTTTTTCTCTTCTTCCTCAGGAACCAGAATATCTGTATACAACTTACACTTTAACTTCTCCTGCCTTTTGCAACTTATGAAATAATAGTAATTCTTCAACAACCATCTTTTTAAAATTTATTTTATTTTATTTTTATTTTGAGACAGAGTCTGACTCTGTTGCCCTGGCTAGAGTGCAGTGGTGTCATCATAGCTCACTGCAACCTCAAACTCCTGGGCTTACGCGATCCTCCTTTCCTAGCCTCCTGAGTAGCTGGGATTATAGGCATGCAGCACTGTGGCTGGCTAACATCCATCTTCAAAGTCACTCTCTTCATGAATCTTTCCCTATTTGAGCAACTGACCATGCAGGACATAATAGCCTAGTTTCTTAGAATAAATACTTTTTCAGCATGGAGAAATAGAAAAATAAGTTAAACAGATTTTTTTGAGATCTTTCTAATGATTAACTGTATGGAAATGACATGTTAATTTAGAAGATTCTTACAGGATTTAAAAAATATATATCTCTGGGTGACACTGCCAAGATAAATGTTACCTTGCATTGCAGTGATGAAGATGAAGATGAAGCCCTATACCAGAAAGTGTCCTCAGAGCAAGGCCAAGTGGAACATCTTGGGGACTTGTTGTGCCACTGCCAGGAATGTGGTTTGGCAGGAGACTTCTTCATCTTCTGTTTGAAGGTGAGAAATACATATAGTTCCTGATCAGTTTTATTCAGGGGTAGTTCCAGGAGACCCTTAAATTTTCATGGCATTCGTAATTTTGGGTCCTAAAATTTAGGTCCTAATTTAGGGAAAACGATCAGAGGACAGACAGGAATTTATTTTTCAGTAGCCTCGGGTTGGTAAAAAGAAGAAATTTATCTTCAGTAGTACTCATGTGATCTAACTACTTTCCAAGGTGACCTGCACTGAAATTGTAGAGATGAACAATGGAGAACTGTTGCTCTATGAAAGGGTTAATCTTTGCTCCATGTTGACAGTAAGAACTCTTTTGAAGTTAATAGCAGGTTTTACAGCTATAGAGTAATCCCTTATCCTTTCTGACTGTTGTTTTGTCAGGTATGTGGAAAGGAGATTTAGCAATTCTGCCTCCCTCATTTCATTTTGTAGCCACTTGAAACCTTTTCCGGGTTTGTTTCTTAGAGTGAGTGGTTATGTTTCCTTTTGCCCTTATCTCCAATGGTACCTTGTATAACTCGTACCCCATAATGTCCCTCCTTATTTGCACTGTCTGGTATCATATGGTGGTGACCTCCAGCTCTGCATTCTCCACTCTTACCCCTAAATAGTGTCTGCTTCTAGGAGACTGTCTGTGGAGTTTAAGGTTGGTATGGGTATGGGAGAATGCAAGGAAGGAATAAGGGCTAACACTTCTAGAACTTAAAGCAGGGAACACTTTCTGATGCTTTCTTTCCTCGTGTGTTCACATCTATCCCCATGCCCAGCCACTTGTTCTAAATGACATTCCAAGGGGATGTGCTCTTAATTTCATACTTTTTTTAAAAAAAAAACTGTTTAAAAAACAAGCTAACGAATCAAAGGGCTTTGTTCTAAAAGAGGGTATCTCCACCTTGGCATTATTGACATTTTGGACTAGATAAATTTTTTCTCATGGGGAGGCTGTCTTGTACATTGTAGGAGATTTAGCAGCGTCCCTGACCTCTACTAACTAGATTACTCTCCAATTATGACAACCAAAAATGTCCCCAGACATTGTGAAATGTCCTCTGGGAGCAAAATTGCGGAGGCACAGTTGAGCACCACTGCTCCAAACTGTCAGTTACTTTGGTAAACCCCTAATTATTTGTTAGGAAACTTAAGGTTTTCATTTTCCAAGGAAATTTACAACATTGAAGTGCAGATGAAAGGCCTACCAAACCCACAGTGATAAATTATTGATTAGTAGAAGTTTAGTTCTAAAAATCTTAGCGGGGCCGGGCGCGGTGTCTCACGCCTGTAATCCTAGCACTCTCGGAGGCCAAGGTGGGCGGATTGTTTGAGCTCAGGAGTTTGAGACTAGCCTGAGGAAGAGCGAGACCCCGTCTCTACCAAAAATAGAAAGAAATTAATTGGACAACTAAAAAAAAATATATAAAAAAAATTAGCCGGGCATGGTGGCGCATGCCTGTAGTCCCAGCTACTCGGGAGGCTGAGGCAGGAGGATCGCTTGAGCCCAGGGGTTTGAGGTTGCTGTGAGCTAGGCTGATGCCACGGCACTCTAGCCCGGGCAACAGAGCGAGACTCTGTCTCAAAAAAAATAAATAAATAATAATAATAATAATAATAATAAATATCTTAGAGGGAAAGTGTTGCAGTACCAAAGGCATCATGTGGCCTCTAATAGGAGTTTGAGGATGTGAAGTAGTCTGAGGTCTCAGTTCAAGGAAAACTATTGACAGAGATCATAAAAATACTGATGAAGTAAGAAGTGTGTCAAACTAGTTCTTTGTGTGTGTGTATGTTTTTTATTTTGAAATTTTATTTTTTTAAATTTCATTTATTTCAAGACAGAATCTTACTCCGTCACCCCAGCCAGAGTACAGTGGCATCATCGTAGCTCACTGCAACCTCATACTCCTGGGCTCAAGCAGTCCTCCTGCCTTAGCCTGCTGAGTAGCTGGGACCACAGGCATGCGCCACCATGCCTGGCTAATTTTTCTATTATTTGTATAAACGGGTCTTGCTCTTGCTTAGGCTGGTCTCAAACTCCTAACCTCAAGAAATCTTCCTGCCTCAGCCTCCCAAAGTGCATGGATTACAGGCATGAGCCACTTTGACCAGCCTTATTATGAAATTTTAAAATTTCGAGTACATGGTATCATACTATACATACTATTCTGCAATTTATATTTTTCACTGAACAGTATTTTTGAGATCTATCTATATTGATATCCATATAGATCTAGTTCATTTATTTTAACTGCTGTGATATAATAAATACATCACAATTTATTTATTTTCTTATTGCTGGAAATTTAGGTTGTCTCCAATTTTGGGCTAATATAAATAATGCTGCAACAAAAACAGGCTATTTCTTTAAATATGCATTTCAAATAGAGTTTTCTAGCCATCTTCGTGAAGGCCTTAGTACTGCTGGCTTTTTCTTTATTTTTTTCTTTTTTGCCATGCTTGTAGGAGTTGACTCATATGGCCATGGAAAATGAAGCAGAGTTAAAAACTAAGCCCTTCTCCAACAAAAGCCTTTTGGAATTAGAGCAACACCAGACTCTTCTTGTGGAAGGCCAGGAGCGGAAGTTGCTCGTGCTGCAGCTGATGGCTGTTCTGTGTGAGAAAATGTCTGAGCAGATATTCACAAATATCACTCAGGTCAGTGATTGCCACATCCAGGACCCCAGCCTGGTGGCATTTGTCTATTTTGGTTTCTTTACATTCTTTGCAAAAAATGTTCAAAAATGTTGCTCAGAATATGGTTTGATGACACCTGCATTAGTATTTCCTGGAAAGGTGGTTAAACATGGAAATAACTGAGCCTACCCCAGGCCAACTGAATCTAGAACTTTCTTAGGTCCTAGTAATCCACGTGTTCAACATGCTTCTGGGGTGGTTCTCCTGCACACAACACTTTGAGAACTGTTTTAAATATTTTTATTTCCAGGCCGGGTGCGGTGGCTCACGCCAGTAATCCGAGCACTGATTGTTTGAGCTCAGGAGTTCAAGACCAGCCTGAGCAAGAACGAGACCCTGTCTCTACTAAAAAAAAAAAAACAGAAAGAAATTAATCGGACAACTAAAAATATATAGAAAAAAATTAGCCAGGCATGGTGGTGCATGCCTGTAGTCCCAGTTACTCGGGAGGCTGAGGCAGAAGGATCGCTTGAGCCCAGGAGTTCGAGGTTGCTGTGAGCTAGGCTGATGCCACGGCACTCACTCTAGCCCAGGCAAAAGAGCGAGACTCTATCTCAAAAAAAAAAAAAAAAAAAAGAAAAAGAAAAATATTTTTATTTCCTATCACAGTGGTTTTCAATTTTGGGTGCAAATAAAATTACCTGGGATCTTTTTAAAAATATTGATACCCAGCCTACTTTTAGAGATTCTGATTCAGCATGTCTGCATTAGAGCCTGGGCATCTTTCTCTTTTTAAAGCTCCATGGATGATTCTGCTGTGTATCAAAAGTTGAGACTAATCAGAAACTCAAATTTGGAAAAAAAATCACTAATGATAATGAGACCACTTTGAATTTTATAGATGTTCTAACTCAGAGCTTATCTCTACAATATCCTGTGAAGTTTTAAAATGTTTTTAAAAAAATGCTTTCAGGGTGGTATAACTCTGTGAATCAGTGCCTGAATTGTATTGGCTCAGACATTATTTTTACCACCTTTTAAAAACATTGAAAATAAAAGTGATAAAGCAAAGGCAGTGTGGTTGCCGTATTTTACCACTTTACCACAATTTAATGTTGCTCGGTTGGTGAATAGTCAGTTGTAAGATGGTATGATTGTCACGCTTAAATCCGATTCTCCAGCTCTTTGTATCGTCGTCATTGTCATCAGCCTTCGGGTGTTGCTAAGCAGCATTTCACTATAGCTCCTGCTGAGAAAATTTGCAGCTGCCTGTCAGCTCTGACTTATCGTGCCTGTTTAATGAGAATTATGTTCATGATTTCTTTCGTGGGCTCTTATTCCTTCAGTTCACTGACCCTGTGTTACTCAGTAGGGTGATTTGTTTCTCCTGCATTTATATCCATTCCCTGAAGACTTTCATCCAGACCTTATGTCTTTGTCTCAGGATGCTAGTTGAAAGGGGAAATGGTCTAAAAACTGATATGACTTGAGCTTGTGCAATTATCTCCTTTTAATCCTAATTAAGGAACAGTGGTTCAGGCTGGTACAAAAATGATTTGTCCCATTAAAATTATCCTTCAGCTAAGGTTAAAATGTATCAGGACAAAAAGAGCCACAGAGCCACAAGGAAATATTAAATTGCATTTAGTAATCTTGCTCCTAGCAATAATATTGGTATATTATTTTGAAACACACACATATGGATAAAGAAATAAGTTGTAAGTAATTTTGTTAATATTAGGAATCAATATTTTTAGCATAAGAAAGAGTTATAAAATAGAGAACCAGAGTAAAAACCCTATAATTTTTTTTTTTTAAGAGATGGGGTCTCTCTATGTTGCCCAGGTTGCACTTGGACTCTTGGGCTGAAGCAATCCTCCTGCCTCAGCCTCCTGAGTAGCTGGGATTACAGGAGCATGCTCTTATGCCCAGTTTAAAACCCCATAATGTTGAATACTTCAGTTGGAAGTATTAATATGAAGTTAAGATTTATTTTTCTCTTTTTAAAACATAGCTATTTCCTAGGTTGGTCCACTGTAAACCCCAAGAAGCAAAGACAACCCAGTAGCAATAAGCATCCTTAGTGCCAGATTATAGTTTCTAAATACCATTTTCTACTAAAAGAATTCAAAGGTCTTTGGAGTAAAGGTTGATTTGAGGTCTGGGGCAAGAATCATACATCATAAGCCTCAAGGCATCTTGTGGTGCCTTAATGCAAGGAAGCTACTTAGATTAATGGGGTCATGTCAGTAGCACTCAGGAACCATCCTGAAGGGGCTGCCATTGGCGATAGGACAACTTAAGATCATTAAAAAGAATAATGCCTGCAATGGATTGAAACACAGATATAAAAATCTGAGTAAAAAAAAAAAAAACCCTCATAGGACATCTTGGGAGATTACTAGGGGATCAGTTCATTATTTTGTAAATTGATAAATAAAGGGGAAGAATAAAGCATTTGTCTTGTCTTTCCTGTGGGAACTGTATTTCAGTGCAACCAAATAGTCAATGAAAGAAAATTTTTCTTTATAGGAGAATCACAGGTAAAAAAAATTCAAAAAGAAAACTAGAAAATTACATTTTGCAACCCTCTAATGAAATGATGGATCTGGTAACAATTATAATGTCTGCCCAAACCATCAGATGGTCTATTGATGGAGGACTTTATAGTGAAGGTATTAGGGCCAAAATGCCAAAGCCAACAGATTCATACTTTTCCCCCCAATATTTTATTATGAAAAATTTCAAATTTGAAAGAATTTTATGGTTAATACCTGTATACCTACCACCTAGATATTACCATTAATCTTTTATTATACTTGCTTTATGACATATTTATCTATGTTTTCATTCTTCTATCCATATTGATTTTAGTACATTTCAGTGTTAATGTAGATATCAGTATATGTCTCCCTAAATATTTCAGCATGGAGTGGTCTTACAACACCATCATTGTAAGCGGACAAGCAGATGTTCTGTGCTTTCTGATGTAATGCAGTAGGAAGTATGCAGTACCACTTGGGAAAGAGTCTTATGGGAAAAAAAAAAAAAAAAAAAACCCTTGAACCTGAATCTAATCAAGGAAATTCAGGGAATAGAGGAAAAAGTTAAACAGTGCCATGCGGAAGCAGTCGGCTAAATCCAGAATGTGGGAAGTTCTACAGTACAAGCAACAACTCAGTTTCGTCAAATAAATGGCATGAAAAAGAAGCTGGATCCTGATTCAAACAAATCAATTATATGAAGACATTTTTGCAATGGTCATGAACCATTGAGTAGAAGATACTGAAGAATTCTTATTGGCTGTAATCGTGGTGTGTTAGTTATATAAAAAATAAATCTCCTTACCTGTTAGAAATACATGTTGAAGTATTTATGGGTAAAAGATTAAATATTCAATGAAATGAGTTGGGAGATGGCACATTAGTATATGTGATGGTGCAGGGAGGAGTGAGGCTTGCAGTGGTCTGTGTTGATTAGAGCCCTGCACCAGCTTCATTTTTTTTCACAAGTCTGTATCGACTTGTGCCACGTACTCTTCTAGGCACCAGGGACACAGCAGTGAACATAACAGATGCATATCTGTGCTCTCGTGGAGCCTATATTCATATAGGGGGAGAGAGAGAAACAAGAAAGCAAAAACATGTATGTATTAGATGGTGATAATTTCTAGAAAGAAAAATAAGACAAGGGAAAGGGGATGGTAACCGGAGTATGGTAAATAGGTGGTCATGGAGAGCCTCACTGATAGTGTGACTTTCGAGGCAAGATCTGAAGGCAGGGAAGGAGGGAGCCATTGAGGTGCCTAGTGGAGGAGTGCTCCAGATAGAACATGCCTGGACTGTGGTAGGTTCGGCAGAGAGGCCAGTGTCAATGCAGTGGAGTGAGATTCTCTTTTCTCTGCCATTTCAGAAAACTGCCACCCTCTGCTCCCTTCTATAATTGGGTCACTGCAATTCTTTTTTCAGATGTTAAAATTTTTTTAACATAAGCAACACATACTCATTGTAAAAACACTTAAACGGCACAGAGGTACATAATGTAAAAAGTAGGTACTTCTGATTAAAGCCAGAGTATTGAACCCTCTGGAAACCACAGGGACTAACAGAGCACGAGAAAAGAGACAGTAGATAAAAGGCAATAGCAAAATTTGGAAACTGGAAAATAGTAGCTGATCTAGCAACTTGAGAGATTGGAAAGCTTGGTGTCTGCATGGCAAGAAGTCAAGAAGCAAACCACTATTCCTCAATAAAGCTGTTAAAATATTTTTTTTTTTTTTTTTAAAGGAAAAGGGCCAGGCGTGGTGGCTCACACCTATAATCCTAGCTCTCTTGGAGAGGCAAGAGGATTGCTTGAGGCCAGGAGTTTGAGACCAGCCTGAGCCAGGACGAGACCCTGTCTCTACTTCAAATAGAAAAATTAGCCAGGTGTTGTGGCGTGTGCCTATGGTCCCAGCTACTTGGGAGGCTGAGGCAGGAGGATTGCCTGAGCCCAGGAGTTTGAGGTTGCAGTGAGCTAGGATGATGCCACTGCACTCTACCCAGGGCAACAGAGTGAGACTGTCTCAAAACAAAACAAAACAAAAGGAAAAAAGGAGCAAGCTACTTCACACTACAGGACCCTAGAAGGACAGGAGGCACCAGATAAGCTCTAAAGATGGAGCTGCATTTAGAGCTTAAAACAGCGGGAAAGCCTGGGTAGGGTTCAGTAGACCCCTTCATTCCTTCCTCCGCTTTGTGCAGCTACCTCCTCTTCCATCGAAAAACAGGTTTATTCTTGAGAGATACTGAACCCAAGGGACTCTGAACATGAGTGGGAGAAGCAAACTGAAAAACAAGAGGCTCAAGTTGAAGTCTATATCATCAACCACGATGAGGGCCCCCCCCCCCCCGGTTCCCTCTCCCCGGCCCCCTTCCACTCAGGTGTCAGTATTTTGGCAGCAGGTTCATGCATCCCCATAGGGTTATTGTGAGGATTAAGTGAGTTAATACCTGTAATGCATTCAGAATGGCGCCTGGTCAGAGTTAATGCTTAATGTTATTAAATTAAACAGCTAAATAGTTAAAAGTGGTTACCTCGGTAGAGCCAGAATCAGGTGGGAAGAAATGAGGGCGGGCACTGCTATTTTTCACAGTAAACTTTGAGGACTATTTGGCTTTTTAAATTATGTACCTTTATAAAAAGTTTTAAGTAAAAAGTGAAAGTCTCTCCCCACTCTCTGCAGCATGCATAAATTCTAGAACAGGCTTTAGTCACATACCTGTTCTTATGGCTAGCAGCCCCACCAAAATTACAGGAAATGAGTAGTAGTGGAAAGCTGCTGTCCAAATGGGTAGGGTAGGGTGGTTTTGGTGTTACAAGAATGTTTAGGGAAAGGGTACTTCATAGACAAAAGTCACAGTTGGCTTTCACTTTACAGTTTGCAATTCCCAATTGTTTTTTTATATACATGCAAACATACAAAGTTTCTTTTTAAAAAGTATCATTCTACTTATTTTGCAACATTTAAAAGTACACATACATATATGTAGTGGAGAGGAACTTAGAAAAATTTGGAAGACTAGACAGTACTAATTCTGGTAATTTAACAATACTTGTATTGAAATAGAAACTAAATGTAAACAAGGAGTGTTTCAGAAAACTCTTGGGAGGTAGAAACAGTTTCTACCTAGAAATGTCCAATGTCCAATGTCTAGTATCAATGAAGTCTTGGGCCTGGAGAGGGTGGTAAAAATTGCTGTAACCAGAACTGTTCATTTCAGTAAATGGAACTTTTAATAACCTTTCTAGTTTCCTGCCTTGCTCCAAGGACAAGTATTAACAAGCCATTCTCCTGACTTAAAGCTTGCAATAAAGATTCTAGCACAGCATGTGATTTGTCCGGAGAGTTAAACATGCAAGCTTGCATGGTATTTAGAGGCTTATTATGACCTATCTCAGCCTTCCCATTTCCAAGATGACTTCTCTCTTTTGAGTCATTAATCCTAAATAGTCATGTGTGTGTGTGCGTACTTGTGTATGTGTGTACAGTCATTTATTCAAAGGTGTTTCTTCTTAAGGTGATTAATCCAAGTGCAGTTAAAATGATGCTGACCAAATTAATTCCATTTAAAACTTAGTTGTTAGCCAAATGCTATGTAACATCTTGAATATAAATAATCTTAATACTTTAAAATATTTTATGCTTTAAAAAATGACTCTAGTCATTTGTTTGAAATTGTTTGAGGACACTGGCTTCTAGATAAAATTGAACACCTCCTACCCTCTTCTTTGCTTACTAGAATTAGACTGTTAAAATGTAGGGGAAAATAAATCTCTGAGGAAGAAACCTTTTGAGAAGCAAATCTAGGACTCTCTGAGATGGCCAGAAAGCAACAAATCATTTTTTATAAATAGAGTTTACTTTTTTAGAGCAGTTTTAGGTTCACAATAAAATTGAGAATAAAGTACAGAGATTTCCCTTTTACCCGCTGCACCCACACATATATAGCCTTCCCATTAGGAACATCCTCCACCAGAGTGGTACATTTGTTATAGCTGATGATCTTATAATACATTGACACAGCATCACCCAAAGTCCGTAGTCTATATTAGGGTTCACTCTTGGTGTTGTACAGTCCATGGGGTTGGACAAATTTATAATGACATGTATCTACCATTATAGTATCATACAGAATAGTTTCACCACCCTAAAAATCCTCTGTGCTCCACCTGTTCTTCTCTCCCTCTCCCCTACCTTGGCAATCCTTGATCTTTTTACTGTCTCCATAGTTTTGCCTTTTTCAAAATGTCATGTAGCTGAGATCATACAGTATGTACCTTTTCAGATTGGCTTCTTTCACTTAGTAATACGCGTTTAGGGCTTCTCTATGTCTTTTCTTGACTTGACTGCTCATTTTTTAGTGCTAAATAATCTTCCACTGTCTGGATGTCCTGCATTTTCTATATCCATTCACCTACTGAAGGACATCTTGGTTACTTCCAAGTTTTAGCAATAATGACTAGAGCTGCTATAAACAACCTTGTGCAGGTTTTATGTGGATATAAGTTTTCAACTTCTTTGGGTAAATATCAAGGAGTGCAATGGCTGGATTGTATGGTAAGAGTATGTTTAATTTTGTAAGAAACTGTTAAACTATCTACCAAAGTGGCTGTACCATTTTGCATTCTCACTAGCAATGAATGAGAGTTCCTGTTGCTCCACATCCTCACCAGCATTCCTAGTGATATCAGTGTTCTGGATTTTGGACATTCTAACAGGTGTGCGGTGCTATCTCACTGATGTTTAATTTGCAGTTCCCTAATGACATATGAAATGGATCATCTTTTCATATGTTTATTTACCACCTGTTTATCTTGTTGAGGTGTATCTGTTCAGATCTTTTGCTGATTTTTAATCAGACTGTTTGTTTTCTTATTGTTGGGTTTTAAGAATTCTTTGTATATTTTGGATAGCAGTCCCTTGTCATATATGTCTTTTGCAAATATTTTCTCCCAGTCTGTAGCTTCTCTTTGTATTCTCTTCGTAGTGTCTTTTGCAGAGCAAAAAATTTTAATTTCAACAAAGTCCAGCTTATCATTTCTTTCTTTCATGGATTGTGCCTTTGGTGTTGGTGTTGTATCCAAAAAATCATTGCCATACCCAACGTCATCTAGATTTTCTACTATGTTATCTTCTAGGAGTTTTATAGTTTTGGATTTTATATTGAAGTCTGTGATGCATTTTGAGTTAATTTACAAATCATTTTCATCTTTAATTTCCTGGCAAAATTCATGAAAAGTAAAGGAAATTGGATTAGTACATTAAAACATGTGGGAAAGTATAAGTAGGCTTTCTTATGTATTAACTGAATGGTCTTGAATAAATAACCTTTAAGTCTCAGATTCTTCATTTCATAATGAGGATAATAGTACCGACTTCAAAGAGTTGATGTGAGAATTAAGTGAGATCGTGCTTGTAAAACACTTAAAAGCTTCCAGGTTGCTGAACACGTGGAGGTGCTGGCTGGGTGGCTAGCCCAGAGAGGGCACGGAAGCTCTGCCGCCGCCCCCAATACCTTGTCCTATCAATCTCTCCATCTGGCTCTTCATCTATATCCTTTGTAATGAAGTGTTAAACGTGGGGAAAAAAACCCAACATTATGCCTGCTGCACAGTAGCAGTTGTTCTTTTTTTTTTTTTTTTTTTTT